GGTCTTCTGCACAGGGCAGATCCCTCAGACATCTGGTCAAAACACCTACTAACATCTGTCGCACCATCCATCAGGGTCAGAGGAAGCCATGTTTCTTCCAGTGTACCCAGAGACCCACTGTCCCACCGTGCTAGCAGACAAGACTGAGGATGGGCAACCAAGGTGCTGTCATGTCTGATCTTGGAAAACCTCTTCTTTGCCATGTTCTGCTCTTCATGTATGCTTTGTGCCATGCTAGATATGCACTGAGCACTGCTAAAGCAAGGCCTAAAACCAACTTAGGTGAGAAATTAAGCCATGAATCTCAGCAGGGCTTAAAAGTCAAGTAGGGACTGAACGTTTCAGCATTGCCACAAGGGCAGTGATGCACCATGGTGAAGTCACGGACTGGTAAGTGGGTGAGCTTATCTGGTGGCAGTCCAGGCAGGGCAGAGACACAGGAAAACTGGTGTTGCCCCGACATCTCCCAGTATCTCCCTCAATAGCTTGTGCTGTGTGCACAGCCTGTCCAGAAGAAACTTCAGTCCAAGGACTTTAGATGCCTCCAGGGTTAGGCAGGGTGCTTGTGAGTACTGCTTGTACATAAATAATGGAGTGAATTCCCTTTGATTTTAAAAGTGCCTACACACTTTGATATCCTAACTAGATACCTTCTTGTATGTGAAGGCTACCTTCAGAAATCAGGCCTTTAGGCTCTCTCTGGTTGTTGGATGAGACTTGAAAGTGGTTAAGGAGGAACCAATAAGAACCTTTCAGCAACGGTGAAACAAAACATTGGCGATGTTTACAATGACTCACCTTGGCCATTATATTAACTTATTTCTCTTACATAAGGCTGGTACTCTTCTTTAGCTATGACCTCAAGGAAACAGCTAAATTAAAATACTCCCCCCACCTCCAGGTATTAATTAGCCTAAACTACTAGTATCTGAAAAATGAATATTTACTTGGCTGTGAAGGAGAATCTAGAAAGTGTCCTATGTTTTGGTCTAACCTGGACCATAAATGGAAGACAACATGGCATGGATTTCACCTGGACAAGGGGACCGGTGAGATATATTAACCATGGATTTTCCATCTGTATTCTGCTGTATTCTGCAAAAGTATTTCTGCTTTGTTAATGTCTTAAATTTTAGCAATGAAAGAACATTACTTTTGTTTTGGGAAAAGCAATGAAATTCCTGGCAAATGGTATAAAAATACGTAATTCAGATGGGTTTGGAAACAGGAGTGCTAGAGCTGCCTGTCTACACTTAGTGGGCAAGAGAAGATTTCTTGTAACCATGGTTTTGTTATAACTCATAAATGATTGCTGGAATTAAAGACCCTTTGGATACCAGCAGGGGAAATTTGGCCATAAACATAATTTCAAGTACTCATCCTCTATGAATATGAACTTTCCCCGGAGTCTGAGACCAGGCATGCAAAATAGAGACACAAAACCCCCCCGCAGTTACATCTGAAATTCTTGACTGCACAACTGTTGTCCCAGACCCAATCTTTTGCACATGAAAACTCGGGCAAAAATATCTTTATGACTTCACTGACAGTTTAATAGGGCCCTTACAGAGTATTAGCTGTGCAAGCTTGTCACAGTATGTACTAACACAAAAATGTCAGACGCACAAGAAGCAGAAAGAGTCTGGGGAACACCTGCTCTCCTGGCACTTCAGTCACATATACCAGGCACTTCTAAATGCTATGGCAAAGCAACGGACTCCAGACCTGGACATCTGACAGTTCGGTCACAAGTGCTCATTCTGCAGCTGGAAGACTGGTTTAGTCCCAGTAGCAGCAGCTGTCATATGTTGCTTTTTGGGAAGGAGAATGAGTATGTTAGACAGAAGTCTTTGGAGATGTTGTGACAAGGATCTTCTGCATTTCCTTCTCCTGATCTGATTTTCAAGACAGTTGCTGTGGTTGCGGAGGAAATTTGGAAATATATGTCTAATGCTCTTCTCTGTGCCTGGGATTTAAGATCTTCCTGGGCAAGTTTTGTGTACAAAGCAAGACTCCACTTACAGGGACAGACAGCACTGCCACAAGCAAGGAGAAAATGAAGAATTAAGCTGCCAGGAGGGTCTGAATACTCAGCACTGGAGAGCAAGGATGACCTGTGTGCAAGCTGACTGGGACAAGAGGGGCCGTGTCAGTGAATCAGCATTACCGTGCTGGAGACGGATCACTGTTATATAAAAGCCAGAAGTAGGTCACACAGTTGTCTTCATCAGCAATATAATATTTTTTAGGCTGGGTTTGTGTAGCCAGGTCTAAGGGTTTGCAGCATAGTCAGGAAGGAGGTGCCAAAGGCACTGAGTTAAGCGCTGCTTATTGGTGGCACAGGCTGAAGCTGCAGTTTTGCAGCTCAGAAGCTTCCTGTGCATGGACCTGCTCTCCCAGGTTTTGGCCAGGGATCCTACACTGCTACCAGAGTCCAGCCTGGCCGGGACACTGAGGGTGCATAAGGCAGTGGAGTGGGGCAGTTTCAAGCTCTGTGTAATTAAGTCCTTGCCCTTCGCAGAACAAAGCAACTTAATTACATCTTATTGAGGCTCTACAGGATATTCTTTCAATTTTCTTTTCTCTATACTACAGTATGAATTAGTTTTTAAATATATAAACTGTGCATTAGCAATAACTTTGCCAAAAAAGGAGCAAATTTTAACACTTCTTGTGGGGCTACGGGAATGCATCCAAGGCAGAAGATTGACTCTGGAAGAGGGAAAGACAAAGGCAATCTTAAGAGATTATCCAGGCACTTTTAAAGGTTGAAAGAAGGAGAACATAGCGATTTTCACACTCAATTCTTTAAGCCAAAATGAGACATTGTCTTTATATGTTGTACTACTTCTGGATGAAGTCACCTCAAAGGACGACATGAAAGAAGGTCTCTGTGGTTATGGAATTTTCTTCATAAAGCATATTCTAGGTGACTGAAAAATGCTTGAGGAGGTGATTGTGGTCTCTGGAGAGTAATGGTGAATTGTATCAAGAAAAGTGAGAAAGAGGTTGGCAGAGTAGCAAAAGGATGTATTTGAGAAGGCTGCTAATCAGACAACTGTATAAATTTCATCAGTAGCTTCCTAGATGGTTTTAATGGCTTCTAATGGCCCTTTCATTAGAGAGAAAGATGATTGAGGAAAATTTATCAAGTCCTACAAGCTCGAAAGTTACTTCTTTCCTCTAGAACCATAGAGACACTGCACACATAAAGACAGTCTGTGGGAAGAGAAAAAAGTTGGAAAGCTATAGTGGGGCTGTAAGTACCAGAAGCTATTTCTGCAGAGAGGTATTGTGGGTGTGTAAGCTGCACAGGAGAACTCTGCACCCAATTTTTAGATTCATCTCACCCGTTCGGTTAGGGGCACCTAACATAAAACTATGTGAGTAGAGTCATTATCAAAAGCTCCCTCAGGGGATCACTTCCCCTTGGTTCAGTTGCCCTGGTTCTGGCTTGTTCCCTGAGCCTGTCCATCTCTTTCCAGGACCAGGGAGGGGGCCTGTGCCCTAACGTGAATGCCTCGGTTAAGTGTCTGCTCTCAGGGTAGGAATTCAGTCCTCAGTGACCAGACAACCTCTGCAGAATCCCACCAGCCTTGCCAGGGTCTGGCCCCATTTCAGCTGCCCAGGCCTAGCAGTCCCCCATTTCCCACTGTGGATGGCCACAAGGCATGCTGTGCTCTGGGGATCTTTCTGGTACCAACACAGTGCTCTTCAGCAGGAAACAATTTCAGCAAATATCTCAAGTGTATAATATATTTATAATGTCTCCTTTTACAGATCTATTACCCTGCCAGCTCTGTGGAAGGGGGTTTATTTCTCTGCACATGCAACGTCCCACCTGCCCTGCAGTGCTGCAGGTGTACCCTAAATCCTGTGTCAGCCCCATGCAGAAGTCTCAGATACACAAAGCTGTCTTCAATGGCAGTAGACATCTTTCTTCAGGATTCCCAGGGCCTTCTCCATCACCTCTGCTTTCTCCTTATTTATGACAGCGCATGGAGGGTGTGATTGGGCGTGGAGGAAAAGTGGACCCAATGCTAGAGTAGACCTGATGTTAAATCTCAGCAGCTCTTACCACCAACGGCAGACATGAGGAACAGAGGACCCTCTCCTCTGACTGGGAAAGCCATCAAAGAGTTTGATCCAGAAAACCTCACTGTTTTTTAAAACCTTATAGTAAGTATAAAAGAAGGAGACTGTGAAATACGAAGTAATTCACAGAGGACAGAGGAACAGAGGAAACTGCTGAATAAAAGTGTCATGCAAACACTTTCACTCAATTTTTATAATGAGTTTAGCTATGCTGAGGAAAGTGTTTTCATTTCCTTGTGGGACTTCTGTGTTTTCCTGCAGAAAAAAAGGAAGCTTCATCCAGGTGAGAACTATATCAAAGAAAAACTGCATAAACAAAGCACTGCTTCAGCAAACAGGGAGTTACAGCACTGACCTTTTAATTTTGAAGGACTCTACCAAAGGGAAAGATGATGGCACTATGATAGCCTCCAAAAGTGCATGCTCCTGTACAAACAACTACAAAAAGACCTAGAAAACAAATTTTCAACTTATAGTCTACAATCTTGTAACCTTCTATGAATGTTTTTCCCTTTAGGTACTTCAACAACCCATCTGAAATCAATACAAACTTTGAACGGAAAACATTAAAGAGATATGCTTTAAGTTTTTGGAGAGTAAGACTATATTTTAATAACTAAAAGGTTAATGAGCTTATTAAAAAGAACTACAGGTCTATTATCTCCTCATTAATCATATTTCCATGTTGCAAAACCTGCACAAGGGTGGAACCGGATGAAAGACAGCACCAATCTTTTTTATGGTAAAACCATTGTTTTGCAGGTGTTCTGTTGCTAACTAGAAATTGTGAGAATCAGTGAGTCAGGGATTGGAAAGCTTTACAAAGCAAATGAGTACTATGTAAAGGTGAAGCAGCTGTGTGGCAGACTACAAAGAAGACTTTTCTAAAGGGAGTGAAAATGAGAATGGAGAACCTCCCATTTCTCCTGTTATTTATGTGCAGCACTTTCTTGTGCTTTTCCTGCAGATACAAGGCAGAAGAAAGAAGAAGGCATGCAGCTTATCCAGGTGAGGAAGGTAGACCTCTGGGGAGGAGATCTTTAGCAACTGTTGAGTGTCTGGAACTAGTACATAGTGGCCGAGGAGCTAGTTCTTCAAATTCCAGTAGAATGCATAACGTGATTGAGTATTTCTCAGAATAGAGGGGGCTGCATTCTGTACCATGATGACAAAGGCTTCTTTAACCCTGACTCATTCTTGTTTTATTTTTTTGTAGACAACAATTAAAACTGATGATGCATTCACTTATGTGTTGATTCTACAAATAATTAAACACCTGAGTCAGTCTATGTTTGATTTGTAGTTCAGGTGGAAATGTGGTTATTTATGTGACTTCTGGTATTGTGAGACATAACTCTTCATAAATAAGGATATTATTTTGTCTGAATTATTACTGTCAAAAAATGTGGGAAAATGAGATACTACTGCTGAAATTTTGTGTACAGTCATATATTTCAAACAGCTTCTTCACCGCCTGCTCTAAAGGACGCTGAGTAACTCTAGAGCACAGGGTAACTGGAGCGTACATTACCAGAAAATAATCAATTTATTAAAAAAATATTAATTTTGAATGTACTCTGAGTAAACTGCAAAACATTTATAGTGATAATATAGTGCAAAAAACTATCATTAAGAGAAAAATATTCATACAGGTTTTAACAAACTCTATCACCCATGCTCCCATGGAACAGAAAGAAAAGCAGCAAAGGTACATGTCTGAAGTGGTGTTAGTATAATTTTTTATAAGCTTCAAAAGCAAACACTATTGACTGTCCTAAAATGCTTTTTTTTTTTTTCCTTTAAGTACCTGGAAAATTATTATGGCTTTAAGAAAGATGAGGAATATTTCATTTGGAAAAGTAATAGTCCAATGACACCAAAATTAAAAGAAATGCAGGAATTCTTTGGACTCGAGGTGATGGGGAAACTGGATTCTGGCACTTTGGCCCTGGTACAGAAACATCACTGTGGATTCCCTGACGTAGCTGGGTTCTCCACCTTTGCAGGAGAGCCAAAATGGGCAAAACAAGTTCTGACATATAGGTAATTATAGTGGAATTATTAATGTAAAGACAGTGTATTACACAGCATAAGTTGTAAAAACACAGCTGTTTTTCTATCTTGTATTTTAAAGGGTATTAAACTACACACCAGACCTGCGTCCAGCAGATGTCAATGCAGCGATCAAGAAAGCGTTGTGTTTGGAGCAGTGCGACCCCACTGAAATTCATCAAGAAGGACAGAGGTGATGCAGACATAATGATCTCCTTTGCAGCCAGAGGTAAAACTCTATGCAACCATTACAAGTTATTGTCAAGTTACTGCCTATATGGAGCAGTTAACCTGAAATGCTAATGATTTCTTCTCATACATAGCATGTGCAAGGTTCAGTGTCAGGTTGAACAAGCAGGCAGAAAAACACAGTTCCTGCTCAAGGTGCTATGGCTATATAATTCTTGACAATCTTTGGGGGAGGGTATAGGGGCGGATGAAGAGAAGGAGGGAGAAAACAAATGTAACGAGCTGCCTGTAGTTCACTGGATCTATACTTAGTATATGATGCCCAATGTGTGCACGAACCACAAGAGGCTTAGGGCTTGTGGGATATACCCAGGCTATAAGCCCAGTTACACTCTTGGGATTAGACATGTGCTTTGTGTGAGCTAAATAAGTTCTAGACAGACTCAAGGCTTATATTTTTGGCATTGCCCTCAGGGTAGGCTTACCAGCAGCCTTCCCTCTTTCATTAACAATCATGCACACACGTACTCTTCTAGTTGGCTCCTCTGTTCCCACCCAAACATATCCACTCATCTGGGCTATGCAGGGTGTGCAGGCACCACACGTAACTTCTATGTCCTTGAATCCTTTTCTGGAGACTACATTCAAGGGCTTACAGTTTTCCCAGGATCTTGCTTCTGCCATCAACACTTAAATTATCAGTCCAGTTCAGGTAACCACCTGATGACTGCTGACACAGAGTTTATGAAAATTTTACCTTATGAGCAAAAAAAGAAATATATTCCAACCTAAACCATGTCCTCCTCTTCCCTTGCAGCAGCAGTATGTAAATGTCCACCCATTTCTTGAGGAAACCAAGATTTCACTCCTGATGCAACAGTTCAAATTTTCCTAAGTTTTCCCTGTGAAAAATAGAGCTTTTGGCAGTCTGTGTGGAAGGAGAACTTGAAAGTTTACAAAATCAGCAGAACAGAGAGCTCTGTGCATGGCTGAGATCTGTTACCTCCATAACCCCCAGTCAGCGGTGTATGGGACTTGCTCCTCAGGTCACAATGACTTCATTCCCTTTGATGGCCCAGGAGGGTCCGTTACTCATGCCTACGCACCTGGCAAGGACTTTGGCGGAGACACTCACTTCAATGAGGACGAAACCTGGACCAAAAGCACAGAGGGTAGGAAATTAAGTTCTCCAAGTCCTTCCTGAAGCAGGCTGTACGTAAAATCAAGGGTGCAGTGTCTGTCTCCTCTCTTCCTTAAGAAGGGCTTAAAAATGGGGCTGATTTGAAGAAACATTGGGCCAGGTGGTTTCCATAGCTATAAAAAGCCTCTGAGCCCTCTGGTTTTGAAAGCTAAGACCCCAGCTGAACTTCTGCCATGGACTGGGTGGAGATTTATTTGGGAGGGAGCTGAGGGACCTGGCAGCCCCCTTCTCTCCACTCCTCCAACTTGCTTGTCTCTCCCCACACAGGTACATCACCTGCACTTTTCCAGGGTCCTTCTCCCACACTGACTTCTGCAGGATCTACATTACAGTAGAGTTACAAGGAAATAGTCTGATTTCATTATTTTTCTTTCTGAGCAGAATTTAATTTCTAACTGAATTTCCCATATCAGCTTCACTTGCTTAGGCAAGCAGTTCTGAAAGCTTCTCACATACTTTATGTCCTTCATGTTTTCAGGACAAATGAAAAGTTACAGCTCTCCTATTATGTGTTTTGTTTGTTGTTTTCAGGTACAAACCTGTTTTATGTTGCTGCTCATGAGTTTGGCCATTCACTGGGACTTTTCCATTCCAAAGACCCCAATGCTCTGATGTACCCAGTTTATAGGAAATTTGACCCTTCAGTATTCCCTCTTCATCAGGATTATATTAATGGCATTCAGTGCCTCTATGGTAATTCACAATTATTAATCAACGATGCTTACAATTTCAAAGACTTTAGAATACCTTTCAGTGACATTTTTATGTACTGGATATACCTGAATGAGTTCTCACTTTAATTTCTTCCATAAACTGCTTCTTTTAGGACCATCTTCTAACACCCACAATGACCAAAGGGAATCTACTGAGATAAAAGACACAACTGAGTCAAAAGATCCTGCACTGCCAAACGCCTGTGGCCCCGATTTAACTTTTGATGCTGTCACCACTTTCTGTGGAGAAATAATGTTCTTTAAAGACAAGTAAGTCAGCTTTCTAAAAGTAAAATAGCTGGGTATCATTTTTGAATTATGCCCCGCAGCATGGAAAAATAACTTTACCCAGAGTATCAGCCATTTTAGGCAGGAAGGCGAGACAAGGAATCAGGATAAGAGGTGGGAGGAAAAGCAAAGAGGGTGGTGGAGAAATGAAGAGAGATAAGTATAAGGAGGAAGATCACCTTTGAAACAGGGCATGCTATGAGTAGGATGGGGAAAGATGGCTCCTCTGAAAACATGGGCTGTTTTCACTTTAGGCTGTAAGCAAGTCCCAGGTGTTTGGCATCTGGGAGAGTTCAGCTCTGGCAAAAGGTACCACCAGTCCTGGGACATTTGTCACTTTCATTGCTGTCCTTGCTTTCAGAGAGCTGAGGGTTTACCAGTCCTGACACAATACCTGCTTGAAGACCCCCTGCAGTGGTGATTTAGTATAACAATAAAAGGAAAGGATAATTGATTCAGTGCTAAACTCAGACAAACTGTCCCTCTCCAGGGCATGACAGCCCAAAGTCTTGAGAAGAAGGGGTAAAAGAGCTGATTCCCTTCCTTTTCATGTGGTAGGGCTGTGCTTCCCCTGCTTCAGATCCTCCCCAAAAATCAACGTTAAAGTGAGTTTTGACCTCAGAGTTTGGAGTCCACAAAGCCAGTAAAGTCTTATTTTGCAGAAGATCCTCACGCACACCAACTGCTTCTCTAGACTGTTGTTGGTAACCCCAGGGTGGGGTTTCATTCCGAAAATCTTACCCCATATCAGCCATGTGAGCCAGATCTCTCTAGGCTCCCTTTCTGCGTAAGGGAAAACAATAACTGTTTTGACAAAACAGTTCATCTGACCTATTTTTGATGTCTGCATCAAGATGAGAGGAATCTCATCATGGAAATAACTTTATTTCCGTTGACATTACGGGAGCTTAGGGTGACTAACTCAGGGGACATGGCTGGGTTTAGCAGATAAATCCTGCCCTGGTTGCCATGATGTGTTTTCATGCATTAGTGTGTGTGAAGTCTGATTTTATTTGAAACCTGTTCTATACTTATGTAAGGCATTTTTGGCGCAAGCATCCTGCAGTCCGAACAGCTGATTTTAATTTAATATCTTCATTCTGGCCACGGCTGCCACCTGGTGTTGATGCTGCATACGAAATTCCTGAAAAAGACAAAACTGTCTTTTTTAAAGGTAAAATGTTGTAGTTTTATTTTCCTAAGTTGTCTTTCCAAGTAGCCTTGAGAGTTTGTGTCTGGCTTAAAAAACACTTAAGCTCTTTCTGTAGGATTCCCCAAGCTTTAATTTAGTTCAATAAATTTGTGTATTTCAATCACAGAGATAACAAAAATATTATCCAAGATAAGGAACATGTATCTTGTCTTTTAATGTCAATATAGAAAAGTTTTCCTGCCAAAATAAATGTCATTATTTTCTTTTTTTTCTGGAAAATTATCTATTGAATTTAAAAATTATAACATATGCTGCTTCCTAGCTTGTGGAAAACTAACATAAATATGAAGGAAGACTGAAATTTCAGTTTTCATAAATGTGGTGCAAAGAACTATTCTTGCATTTTTTTGACTCTAAAACTAGTGTAGAATGTTTTCAAGTAACGATTATTTTCTCTCTTCATTTTTCCAGTAAAAGATTAGCTTTCATGAAAAAGATTGTGTCATTCCCAGAAGAAGATTCTGATAACATGTTTTCATCAACTTTTCTTCATAGGGAATGAATTCTGGGTTGTGAGAGGAGATACCATACTTCCTGGATACCCCCAAAAAGACTACACCCTGGGCTTTTCAAAAGATGTTACCAAAATTAATGCTGCTTTTTATAATTGAAATGAGGGGAAAACATATTACTTCATAGCAGACAAATTTTGGAGGTAGTATTTCCTGTGCTACTTTCTTAAATAAGAGCAAACATAATCACATGATCAATATCCTGTCATGATTTAAGTTGCATTAGTCATACACTTTTGGTAATGTCTTTCAGTGCCACAACTGGCTATGGAAAAATATTTGAAAGGGAGGTGAAACAGTGCTCTTAGCTTTCCTTTTAATTGATTTAATTATTTAACAGTTTATTTATTTATTTATTTATTTTCATTTAACTGCCTTGGGAAAAAAAGCTATCCTACAACTCCACAAGTCAGCTCAGGAAATCAGTCAGAACCTCACTAATTATATCAAAAACATTTCTGTGGGGTAAGAAGGAGTATCCCACCCTTTTTCCAATTACTGACAGATAGTTTCATAAAGTTGCTGATAAATGCCATGTACTGCAAAGAATTATCTGCTGTGCATGGTTATTATTTCCTCTTTCCAATCCAATCCCTACTGCTCAGGTTTGTGTTACAGGACATATTTCTAACAACTGAAGGAGGTGCTCCTATAATAGAAGCAGTAGATAACCTGAACTTTTGCACACAAATGACACAACTTCTCTCTTTCCTGCCACCACAATGTCCAAGTCATTGTACATGCAGAGATCATCCTGAAGTAACTATTCAGCCACGTGTTTAAGCAGAAGATCAGACTTCCACATTTTAGTTCAAACTCTCACAGCTTGAAGGACTTCAGCTGAGCCATTTATCTGATCATTAAATCTCTTACTGAGCAAAGGTATCAGAAAGAAAATGCTTTCAGAAGCATTCTTACTCCAGCACTGACAGATAAACTGCACTTCACTAAAAATGTAACAGCCTGCTATAAGTAACTTAAGTAAAATGACTTAAAATAACTTATAACCTAAGAAAAAAATCAGATTTTTCTTGATAAACTTTTCTTACAGAGAAGGAACATGAAAACAATATTTTTATAATCTTAAAAATCTAATCTATGTTTGAGATAAGATTATCTACCTCTCCTTTAGGTACAGTCTCTTAGAAAAAATATTCAGCAGGTTTATGAAGATGGTTCAAATATTAGGTATCCTTAGACATATCTTGAGCTGATGTAAACAGAAGTAATTCGTCCAGTGCAGCTAGTAGAGTAATAATTATTTATGGCACATAGTGTCTGTCTCAACGCTACCTAAATGATACTGAAAGTCTTCAATGAACTCAGTTACCTGTCGGTAGGTAGAAGGTAATGAGGTGAGCTGAATTAATCATGAGTTGTTTGCAGTTTTCATTGACACCAGGTTGTTCATCATTTTTCTTAGTCATGATAAAAGAAGTCAGTCTATGGACAGGAAGCCCATACTGATAAGAAATACATTTCCAGGAATGAATGGAAAGATCAATGCTGTTTTTCAACATGAAAGTGAGTAACTGATCTTAAAATCTGTATGAAATGCTCAGGGTCATAGGGATGAGAGTGCTTGGATGGAAAGAGGCACTTTTAAATGCTGTTCATAGCCCTCAGGATTACCAACAAGACCTTGAAATAGTCACGTAACACTCCCATGCTTCACTTTACCCCCTTGAAAAATAGTGATAATATACCTTTGGTGACAGCTTCACAGCTGGAAAGGCCAGCTCTAAGGGACAGATTGATATATCTGTATTCATGTTGACATGCACCTCACACCATGAAGAGCACCACTCAAGACAGTGATGTCTCAACAACATAAGGTCTACCTACTGTGAGCAAGGCTATAATAGCCTGGCCCTCTGACATAAAATAGCTTTGAGAATAATAATTGGCACTAGCTTCTCCTGCATGAGTGAGAATGTTACTTAGACACAGAGATGCTGGAACAGACTCAAGGGTATGTCCACACTGCCAAATGGCACAGCTTCCCAGTTGTCTCCTGGCTCCTCATCTCCTGATCATCAAAACACATGCATGTTAATTGCTTCCTAGCAAATCTGTCAGCTTCCTCCAAAATGAGTCTTACATGTGGTACTGGGGATCCTTAACTGCAGCAGGATCCTTAACTCCCGGAGGGAAGTGTGGATGCGGCTGCCCCAGGCTGGATCTCTCCTTCCCTGCACGGTATCTGGCAGCACCCCAGCAAGCTTGTACCCACTCACACTTTGCCGTGCTCTGTGCCACACTCCAGGCTGTGCAATACCTACCCACAGGTGGCTAGAAATACACCCTTCTGGAGGGTTTTAACACGGCCATTGTATAACAGCAGACATTTTAAACTGCAGAAACACACAGGTTAAATTTTTTTGTAGGGTCACCTCATAGGATTCATTAAGTATATTATGCAATCTGTGCATGGCTGGTTTGCTATGGAAGGTGTCCCCATGCTGCCGTGCACCATTTTGCAGAGGTTACACCTGGGAGAAGACGCTGTTGGCAGTGTAAGTGTATCCAAAGTTTTTTTGAGCTCTTTCTAGGTGTTGTTAAAGCATACTAATCTTTACACCTGCAATATCATAATTCATCTGGTTTTTTTACCTAGACTTCTTTTATTTCTTCCATGGAAGAAAGCAATTTGAGTTTGACCCTGATAAGAAGAGAGCTACATGCCTCCTAAAGACAAACTTCTGGTTCCCATGTTAAGAAAATGAAATCTGTAATGGTGTTGGAAAGAATGTCATGTTATTGCACTAGAAACACTTTTTCTTTTATAAATATATAGAATATATAAGTCAGCAGACCTCAGACCCTGCACAATCTGTGTTTCTGTAAATAACAGAACAGTATTTAACATACTGATGTGTATATATGTATGTAATTAACACCAGGATTTCTAGCTTACCAAAGAACAATGCAGTTTTTACTTGATACAAAATTGTGTCTTGTTTTATTTTTTCCACTGTCTTCTTTTCACTCTTCGTGCTGTACATCACCCTACACAGAACTCTACCCGCCAGGAATCCATGAGGAAGAGCATTTCTGTTCCTAGAGCTAGGATTGCTTTCAACCAGTTCTAGATATTTCAAAGTTAAGCAAGCAGGCTAATCAAAGCTACCGCTCATAATTACAGAGAGACAGACAGGAGCTCCAGAAAGCAATCCCTCCCAGCCTGAGGTGGGTACCTAGGGGTGGAAGTGCTCCTTTTCCTTACTGACTGGAGAGGCAGCCTGTTTGAGCCATTTATGTTAGACACCTGATTATAGAAGGCTAAGCTTAAGTGTGATGAACCCTACCCTAAGATATTTATTGATAAATATGTGATTAAAGGCTCATCTCTACAAACGCAGGAGCAGAGGGGCACATTGGCATGTAGGGGAACCCCAGTAATCCCTGACCTATGATCTATGACCTGACCTATGATCTATGACCTGATCTATGATCTATGACCTGATCCTTGATCTATGACCTGCCTCTACTCCTCTCCAGCTGTCCTGGGGGAGCCCCCATGGGCTGGGGGACATGTGTCACCATGTGTTAATGGGAGAGGATGCACCTCACAGGCTGAGGGGCACTGCCAGGGGGACAGAGATCAGTATCCAGGGGAAGAGCATTTGGGGATTTTATAAACCTTATTATGTAATTTTTGAAGGGGACTGTGGGAATGTGCAAAATTTGTTGTGGGTTGATTACGGGAAAGACCAAAGGCAGGGAAATGGAAGGATCAAGGTAGATTGGGGACAAACAGGTTTGGGAAAATAGAGGGATAAGTGATTGAAGGGGACTGGTTGCATGCAAACAGGCTGCAGGTCAGTGTGCTTCTTTAGCCATGCCCTGCACATTTGGTCCTGTCTTCTCAGTAAATCGTATCTTATGTGTGGGTGAGCTCTTTCTACATGTGTTTGGGTGAACTTCAAGCTGGACTGGCTGCTGAGTAGGTTAAGAGGTCTGAGTACCAGCAGCTGGAGCATGGCTGCAAGCTGTGGGGACTCATACGTTACTGGGGATACAGGAGGTGCGGGGGCAGCTATAGGGAGGACTACGTGTCTGAGCCCAGCTGCTGAGGACATCCACACTGTTTGTATTTCCATGTCAATGTTTCACCAGTGGATGGAAGTCCTCATCAGCCAGAGGGGAGGAATGGAATGGGGCCACCAGTCATTTTCATATTTGTGCAAGTGCTCCATGTTTTCTATCTGTGATGATATCTGTGGCCAGTCTCATGGCTCTCTGGACCTGAGGAACAGACGTGCAGCAGCTGCCAGTTCAGTACTGCTGACAATAATCTCCCTGCTGCTGAATACTTACAGGGGCCCGTAAGTATTCAGATGGACAGCTAGCAAGATCTAAGATCTTAGAGAAGGTATCTTTTCTTTTATGCATGTAAAAAATCTTGCTCAGTACCCAGTCTCCCCCTCATTAGACATCTTCCCTAAAAAAAGAAAAAAATAGAGAAAAGATCATAGAATCATAGAATCATTAAGGTTGGAAAAGACCTCTAAGATCATCAAGTCCAACTGTCAACCCAACACCACCATGCCCACTAAACCATGTCCCTAAGCGCCTCATCTACACCTCTCTCAAATATTTCCAGAGATGATGACTCAACCACTTCCCTGGGCAGCCTGTTCCAATGTTTAACCACTCTTTCAGTAAAGAAATTTTTCCTCATGTCCAATCTAAACCTCCCCTGGCGCAACTTGAGGCCATTTCCTCTCTCATCCTATAGATAGTTCTTCTATTTGGTTCCTGTTCTCCATGAATCACAGAATCACAGAATGACTGAGGTTGGTTGGACCTCTGGAGGTCATCTGGTCCAACCGCCCTGCTCAAGCAGGGCTACCTAGAGTGGGTTGCCAAGGCTCTAGGTGGCTTTTGGAGATACTGCTTTTGCACATATCCAAAGAGGGAGACTCCACCATCTCACTGGGTAACCTGTGTCATTGTTTGGTCACCCTCATAGTAAAGAAGTGTTTCCTGATGTTCAGAGGGAACCTCCTGTGTTTCAGTTTGTGCCCATTGCCTCTAGTCCTGCCAGGACAAGGCAATTGTATTATATTTATACAATTATACATACAATTGTATTGTATGAATGCAATGAGATATTTCAACACACTTTATGGAATCTTTTTTCTGATGCATTTTTAAAACCCCTAGTAGCAGGACTACTCAAATGGGGCACTCCAGTTCTCAGCTAGACACTGAGCAAATTTTATCTCAATTCTATCAAGGTCCAAAACATATTTTGGCACATTCAGTCTTGCAAGACAAATACTGCTGCCACACCCTGCTGTGGAGGTGGCAAACAAGACTTTGCTGACCAAGCAGAACTAGAGTAAAAATGATTAGTTTTAATTACAGCACCTCCAGAAAAGGAAATTAGTAGTTCTGATTGGTGTCTGATACTGCCAAGGTCAGGGAAGCAGGTTTAAGTCTTCTAACTTGAATGTTTCTATTGAATTTAGTAGGAAATACTTCAGTGCTGTTTATTTATTCCTTATTATTCCCCTCATGCTGTTCTTGTTTTCTAATTCTAGTTTTCCTTCACATTTCTGGTATGGCTTTTTGAGTGGTCTCACAACTGCAAGACTTAATCAGTCCATGGTCTCAGCTATAACAGTAAAAGTCAAAAAGGTGCATGAACAGATTGGATCACACTTTATAGATTTTTAGTTCCTTAAGGAAGTTTCTAACCATCCTGTGTTTGAGTGGTTTTCTTCAGTTGTTCCTACTGCTGATCCTCCTCTACAGTATCTGTGCCCTCCATAGCACTGCCATTGTGGTTAACTGCACTAGACCGTGTTATTTTAAATTGGATAATCTCTTCTGGCTCCAATCTTTCCAACTTTTTTTTTGGAAATATTCTCTTTCAGATGGGATTATAGTTCTCAGAGCAAAGCTGGCTTGTTCTAGACCTTCCATGATTGTTTTGTAGTTTTCTGGCTCCCAAATACTTATCTGACTAGTTCTTCCTTGGTTTTGGTGATTTCTGATTAGTCGGGACTCTTTCCTTCCTTATTTCACTAACTATCCACACAGATAATCACACTAATTGTTGACTATGAAGTCTTGGATCTGTAGCAGAAGTAGAGCTTAACTGACCCTAGTGCTATCTATCTTAATATAATTTAGCTGTTTTAGTGTTGGATGTTGGTGTCTTTTTTTGCTTCACGATTCTTATTTTGAAAATCTCTGGTACTACTGACAAGTCAGCCTCATCATTTGAGTGAAAGCAGGCTTTTGAACTGAAGGTCATTGACCTATATTCAATATCCTGTGCTCTTCTGAGATACAGTTTGAGACCTGTACTCTAAGTTGATATATTCATTGTCTGTGGTACACTCAGTCTAAGCATTTCAGTTATGGTTTTCTCAGTCTTCTAACACATCAGATTTTTCCATGCTATAGCAAATTTCTAGGCTGTTTGCATGGAAAGTTGGGTGAAGACAAAAGTCTCTTTACAAGGAACAGGCTTATCATGTGACTCTTCTCTAGAATTCAGATCACAAAAATTACTTTGTTTTCTTCAATGTTTTATTTATAACAGTGTCATTTGTTGCGGTTTTCACCATCTTGTCTTGGAGGACATTTTGCCTACCTCTGAATGTATCTATTTGCCTTTTGTTTGCCAAGGACTCCATAGTGTGTCCATCAGACACAATCCAGGATGTCCAACATGGAAGGCCCAACACCATCTACCCCAGGGAAAACCAGTTTGGTTTGGATGTTCTTTTTCTTACCATTTATTGGTTTTCTTGGTTTCACACACTCACCCTGCCTGGAAGGGACAAATGCCCTTTGATATTGTTCTTGGCATGATTACATACGTATTATCACAATAGGTAGGGCTGTGGTAGTGAACTGAAAAGCTATTGTGTAATGATTTGGACACCCAGAACTAAAAGACCCCAGAGAGTTTACCACCTAAGTAAAACAGACAAAGGTAACTGATACATCCTGGCAGAAAAGAGTAAAATTAAAATGAGTCTATTTAACTACTGTTCGCAGGAAGTTGTTCCTACTGAAATGTTGGCTTGGGTTTAAGGAAATGGGAGAAAAAAAAGCACCCTTTCTTGGTGACAGAAGCAGCAGATTCATGGGTTCAGAAGCACTGAAGGTAACTCAGAACTGCAAAGATGCATCTCTCAGCTGCCATTGGTTTTCCAGAGAAAATAATTAAAGGTTGCCAAGGTGCAGACTTTGTTTCCAGACGATTCCCTGGCAGCCTCTGAACTGCCATCTGGCTGGTCTCCAATCAGCCTGTTCATGTTTGCTCCCTGCCAGCAAGACAACTGCCCTTGCAGGTTCACAAGCAGTAGCTGTCTTACGGGATGTTTTAGCGTTGGTGCCATGCATCCAACTGGGGGTCTGTAAGCCTGTAGCAATTCCAGTATGTCCCAAATGGTCCAGAGCCCCAGGGCACGTGCAGATTTATTTTGTAGATCAGTGTGGAGACATTGATCTCTTCTTGCTGCCTCTTTCAGGGCAAGTTTTATATCTGCACAGCTTTTGTGACAACTGCTAAGTTTAGAGGCAAAGGACTTCAAGCTGGTAAGGTTGGCTCTGCAAGGCATCCCAGGGCCTGTCTGCCATCAGGGAAGTCATGCCCGGGACACAACAGAGCACGTTCCCATCCCAGGCCACAGCTCAGCTGCAGGGATGAAGAATGTGATTTGGTTTTCCTGTGTGTTCAGGAAACAGGTGCT